GTGAGAGGGCAGCAGGACAGGCCCTATGAGGAGAGACTGAGGGACCTGAACCTGTTCAGCCTCAGCAAGAAGAGGCTGAGGGGGGACCTGGTGGCTGCCTACAAGCTCATCAGGGGGGATCAACAGCAAATAGGCAGAGCTCTTTTCTCCCCAGCACCACCTGGGGTGACGAGGAACAATGGTCATACGCTGATGGAGAATAGGTTTAGGTTGGAGAATAGAAGGCAATATTTTACAGTTAAGGGGGCCAAAATCTGGACCAACTTCCCAGGGAAGTGGTCCTTGCCCCAACCTTGGGCATATTCAATTGGAAGTTGGACGATCACCTGTCTGGGGTCTTGTGAACCCAGCATTCATTCCTGCCTGTGGCAGGGAGTCAGGCTAGATGATCTGGTCAGGTCCCTCCTGACCCTAGCTACTATGAAACATTCCCATTTTACCCTGCTCAACAGCCCCCAAACCAGTAAGGAACCAGATTCATCATGCACCTCCCTTTTTGCCTGAAAAGACTTCTAGGCAACTGGATGTGGGTCTTGCTTGGAGGCATGGATGAAATTTTATATAGACCCCTAGCTTTATAAAGATCCTTATATACCATTACCAATATTTATCCAAATCTAAGATGATCTTGAATTTAAAATGACCTCCCAATAATTGTGTGTCAGGCATGGAAAATTTTAACTTGTCTTTTTTATTATAAAAAGACTTACTGACAAAAACTTAAGTCATAAATTCAGCAGAAAAATACTTTATATTATTTTCTGTCCAGAAAATTTGGTAAGTCCTTCTTTCTTAGAACCCACAACTTAAAACTGGTTGCTTTCACCTGCATCCTCTCTCTCTGTCCACTGCTCTCATCTTCTACCTCATTCCTTTCAATATTTTTGCATTTGTATTATTCTTGTTTTTTCTACATGATCTGTCATGATGGCAATACTGGGAGTTTCCCTGCCACTGCTTGCTCCACAGAATTTAGGTTCCTATCTTTTTAAATGTTGGCCAGTTAGCCGTTACCAGGCCCTGTATTCCTTTGCTTTCCCTCCCGCCTCCCAGCTGCCTACCCAGTGCCACATGTTGCATTACCAGGTCCCTTGCTGCTGCTGTGCCAGGTGCTTCCTTGTTGGGTCCTTCACCACTACATGCTGTATTGCTGCATCCCTTGCTGTTGTGTGCTGCTACCATGCTGTGTACCGCCTTGCCAGCCCTGCTGCCCCTGTGTGCTGTGTTATGCTGCTGGATGATCTCTGTTATCTCCTGCCTGGCCTAGTGGATCCTTACTGCTAGCCTGGAAGGTCCTGCCACATCTGACTGCAGG